TCTCCATCCACTTCTCCCATCCATTCAGTTCCTTAGAATCCACGTATAAGTGAGATCATATGATATTTGTCTTTCTCTGACTGACTTATTTCACTTAACATATCCCTCTCTTTATTCTCCCTAAGGTTTGTGCGATAGATACTCTTTTTCACAGACCAACTGACCAATAAACGGCAGAATCCTAATTTGCTCCCAGATCTATTCCACAGCCTATGCTCTCCATATATAGAAATAAATTGAAACCCAGGATGGTGATGCGACTTTCATATCATCAAAGCAAGTTCCACAGCACAGTGCTTGGGACAGACAGGTAAGGCTTTAATACTGTCTCTGCTATTTCTAACTGGGTGACCTTGGGCAAAATGATTATCCTTGCTAACCTTCATATTCATTATCTGCAAAAAGCGACAATGCTACCTACCACTTTAACCAATATTAAAGGTTATTAACATTAGATGAGATAATGCTTGTAAAACACTTAATCTAGTAGTTGGCACACAGGTTACAGTCAGCTAATCTCAGCTACTGTTGTTGTCCCCAGTGTCTAGGAGTACGTCTGAGAGTAGGCTGGAGAAGATGGCAAGATCCAAATCAAGGAAGGCCTTATATTTAGTGCCGTGAAAAAATTTGCCCTGAAGACTTCAGGGGAGCCGCTGAACGATATAAACAAGAGAATAATGCAATAAGGTATTCTATAAAAATATCACTCTGGTGGCAAAGTAGTAAATGGATAGACAGAGGTAGAATTGAAGGGCAGGAAGTCTAGTTAAGAAGTGATTAATTAGTCATGGGTTGTGGAGTATGGTGTGGGAGTGGAGTCAAGGGAATTGTAATAGATATGTATGATATTGCGGGGGAAGTGGGGCGGTGGATTGGGGGAAGGGGGTTGTCACCTCGAGGGGTAAAAAAGTGTAACTATTGCACTGTGTTGTACAGCTGAAATGAATTCTAAAAAATGTGTATTTCACAATAAAAAATAATACAACAAAACCAAAAAAAATAAGTGATAATGAATCTAAGATATTTCTTGACCTAAGAAGTGGATACATTTGAGGAGCATAACAAGGTAAACTAAAGGACTTGGAGGACAATGTGAAGGAATGCAGAGAGACAAAAATGGCTCAGGTTTCCAATACTCCTCACCCCCAATTTTTTCCAAATATCTAATATCCAGTGCCTGGTGCTTTCCTATGTACTGGAAATGCAGTGATGACCAACACCAAAAGCATCCCCTGCTGTGGAGCTTAAAATTTAGTATTGCTAATAAAATAATAATGTAATCAAATATAAGATGACAACTATGACAATGGCATTGAAGGAGAGGTGCATGGTACAATGAGAGTGAAAACAGACAACTATTCTACCCAGTCAGGCAGATCAAGGCATGTTTCTTTGAGATTGTGACATAGACACATCTGCAGGAGTCAGAGAATAGAACATTCCAGGCAGAAGGAACAGCATGAACAAAGCTTTTGTGGCAGGAGGGAGGTTGCAAATACGAAGGACCGGAAGGAGGACCATAGTGAGAGCAGGTGGGGTGAGGGTAGCATGATGAAAGTTAAAGGTCCATTGGTAGGTAATGGAGCCCCTTATCCTTAAATCAACAGGAAGCCAAAGAGGGATTTTGAGCAAGAGATGGCAATGGGGGCTATACAACTGCATTTGTATTTTGATATGTTCACTCTCACTACACGGAGGAGAATAAACAGATTGCAAAGAGACTCAGAGTGACTACTAGTAGAACAGTTAGAAGGCTATTGCAGTGATCCAGGTAGAAGATGGTGGTGATAGTAAAGGAGCAAAGTCAACAGGTTAAAGAGATCTTCAGGAGGTAACATCAGTAGGACTTGGAGATGGATTAGACATGAAGGGGGAAGAAATCTAGAAAACTAAATTTCTAGTTGGGCAATTGACTGGACGATAATAGCATTTACTCACATATGGAACGATACAAGAGGATCAGGTCTAGCCAGGTTAATTTATGACCTTAATTTTGGATATGTTAAATGTGAGGCGCCTTTACAATATCCTTAAAAGAAACGCTGTGTAGAATACGTGGGTCTGGAGTCCAGAAGAGTGGTCTGGAATGGAGGTACACTCTTATGAGTCATCTGTATGATGCACTAGCCTGGAGAGAACAATGGAATAGCAGGAGGCTAAGACCAAGCCTTAAGGAGCAATAATGCTTAAAAGCAGCAGGAGAAAGAAGAGCCTGCACAGTTAACACTGGAGGCCAGAGAGATGGAGAGAAAACCAGGAATGTGCAATGCTTTATAAGCAAGTAGAACATGGTTCCAGAGCTCCACAAGCAACACCAAATAAAGGACAGGTTTAGGGAAAAATAAGGCTTTAGATTTTAATATTGAGTTTCAAGTGCCAGAGAGATATCCAAGTGGGGATTTCTGCCTGGTTGGTGTATATTTGGGTCCACAGCTCAGAAAAAATAAAATCTGAGCTGGCAGCAGAATTGAATGTAATCAGCATTTAGTTGTGCATGAAGTTGTGAGAGCATATCACTCAGCAAGGGTATGGAGAGTGAGTAGAGGAAAACTGAAGGTTGGGGCTGTGAAGACACCAAGATATAAGTATGACAGATCAAGTGGGTCCTCCAAAGGAACTTGAAACAGAATGGCTGGACAAGTGAGAAGAAAACCAGGAGATAGGGATTGGTGGAGAGAAAGAAAAATCATGAAATATGGGATGACAGAAATCAATGAGTGAAAGAGAGCTTCATGGAGGCAGGACATGACAAAAATCAGGGAGCAAAAAGCAGGACATAGATTTTTGAGAAACAAAATGTACGGGAATAAAGAATGAGAGAGAACAAAGACAGTTCTCTCCTGAAGCTCGGCTACAAGGAGGAGGAAGTGGGCTCATCAAACAAGAAATCAAGAGAAGATTACGGCGTCAATGTTGCATTCTTGTGACATATGACAAGGAGTGAAAAGTGCCCACTGGATTTTTTTTTTTAAGTTTGTAATTGGCGGAGAGCATATTCATAGCTGTGGTGGAGAGCAGGCTGAAAGGCTGAGTGTCAGTAACCAATTTTTGATAAATTTGGAAACGTAGCCAGGGGTTCCATGGATGAAGACAGCAAGTTGAAATAACAGATAGTATGAGCCTCACGGAGGTGTGAGTTTTTCCATGGACCTTGTGAAAGAGTAAGTCTCAAAGCACCACTGAGGAGAAAGGAGCATTCTGACCGCCATTTCCATCCTCAGAATCCTTAGGATGTGGTCATGATGCCCATTCTTCATAGACGAGGCAGAACTCTGTACAGATCCCTGTTCATCTACCATAGAAATGGCAAACTGGAAAGAACAGGGAGAGGTACGAGCATTAAGAGATTGAGTCAAAAAGATAAAACAGAGTAGTTTGGATGAAAGAGCATGAAGGAATGGAGGCATCTTTACATTCTGGGCTACTGGGGAGGATGGCTAGAATAGGGTACTATGGTGCAAAGCCTTCCCAGGAACTGGAGACAGTGGTTTCTTCCAGGAGATAAGAAGCCTAACAAAGTGTTAGGACTCAACAAGAGCTCAGTTCTTTTTGACTGAATAGATGGATAAAGTAGGTCTACACATGATATCAAATTACTTATTTTATTCTGTTCTAGGAATGTTTAATCTCACAAACATTTGGAAGCCAGTTATGTGCAGTATGTGTTGGATAATCAGAAATCTGTTATGAATATACACACATCTTCTGCTTTTTAGGTGCTGGGTTTTCATTTCCATCTAATCCGCATCAAAAGACAGTAACAGATAAGATGACTAAAATCCCAGGGGCCAATTTGAACCAATCTCGTATTATATAGATGTTGCAACAAAGAAATTATATGTAGGCACACCTTCTTGTGTAAGCAGAAAACCAAATTTTCCAAAGGAACCCCATTTTCTTGAAACAAAAATTATGGCCAAATTTTGAAATTCATGAAATTAGTTACTAAAGTGATGTTTGCAAAGTCCTTAGTAAATAGCTTTCCACTTGTTCTGCCAATAACGAGAAAAAAGTAAACACATGCAGAGCAAACTGGAGGATGTTTGCTGGCCGGTCAACCGTAGCATGACTACGCAGATACCTTTGAGCATCTAGAAGCCAGAATTGAGGCCAAAAATTAAATTCATCAATATATGTTGCCATAGTCTGAATGTTTGTGTCCCCCCCAAGTCCATATGTTGAATTCCTAACCCCTAATGTGGGGCCTAATGTGGAGGTGGGGCCTTTGGGAGGTGGTTAGGTCATGAGGGCAGAGCCCTCAAAAATGGGATTAGTTGGGCCGGCCGAGTGGCTCAGTTGGTTAAGAGCTCGCTCAAGAGTATGAGCTCTGAGCAATAGCGGTTCGTTTCCCGGCCTGAGCTGAGCAGCCGCTGAGCTGCCAACAGGTGGCAGGATGGCTCCAGCTAAAAAAAAAAAAAAGAAAAAATGTATTGCCCTCTACAGCTAAGATGCTGAACAATAGCTCAACCTGGAGCTGGGCTGCCGTGAGTCGCCGGCGACAGCATAGGCTGCAGCCCCTGCTGCAATGGGTTTCCTTGGGCTACCGTGTGTAGCCAGCAGCCAGTGTGAGCGGCCATCCAGAAGCCAGCTAATGATCTGCCTCACCCTGGAAAAGTGCATTGATGGTGCCAAGTTGGGCCAGTGAAGCAACGTCCTCCACAACTAGACTGAAGAACAAAAAAGGACAGCAACTTGTCTGTTCCCCTTCCCCCAATTCCCCAGCGCTGTTCCCATATCCCAATGCCCCAATTAAAAAAAAATGGGATTAGTGTCCTTATAATAGGGACCCCAGAGGGTTCCCTGCCCCTTCTATCATGGCATCTATGAGCCAAGAAGAGGTTCTCACCAGACACCAAATCTGCCCCACCACTTTGATCTTGGACTTCCCCCCATCCAAAACTGTGAGAAATAAATTTCTGTTGTTTATAAGACACACAGTTTTTTATGGCATTTTTGTTATAGCAGCTTGAATAGATTGACATATGAATGAATATTTCAAGAGAAAAAACGTGTTTCCCACACTCGTCAAAATGTGCTGGTAGCTCCTCCATTAATTCTTTCAGAAATGTGGTTTTACAAAACTTTCGTATATTCAGAGAAATTTATCTTCTTAAACTTCCCAGGGCAAAGCGGAAAGCAAAAAGGTAATTGGAAGGCCAGCTTTTGCTGGGATAGTAATGAAAGCAACAGGAGATGAGGGGTCATTTCCTAACAGCTGTGAGAGAAAAAAAAACTTGCAGGGACCCCTGAAAATATGCAGCATGCATCAAAAGCTGCAAAAGAGATATTATCTGTGCTCTCAAGAATGATGCTTTTTGCAAGCTGCTTCTTCCATGAAATAATCAATAAATGCATCTCTCTCAAACTGGTTCTGCCTTCTTCCTTGGCTAGAAGGCAAGGCATAGACTCAGCACCTTCATCACTATGGGTTAGTCCCTGGAGTGATCCAAAGCTGTCAGTCACACTTAATGTCATGCTCAGGAGGCCTCGTTGAGAAGAGAGCTGCCCTGTCACCTGGCCTGTCACCCACTTACCCACCCATCCAACTTCCGGCTCAAGCTCATAAGAATTAAGCACTACATTTCCCTTCTTAGACTCAAAATATTCAATTACATCACTTAATATCCCATAACTAACAACCACAAACGCTGACCTCTCTTAGAAGTCCTTGAATGTCTTAGGGATAAATCACGGATGAAAAAATAAGACTCCAAGACTGTATCTTAGTGGCAGAGCCCGTTAGCAATTTTACCTTTCTTACCTGGCTTCCAGAAGTGTCAAAGTACTGCCTGGTGAAGGCCAAGATATCTTCTGTCTCGTTCTGGGAGAGGAAATAAGAGTCTTCCTCCTGCCTGAGGCTGAGGAGGCTGTGTAGGTAGAATTTATATTCCTGATTACTCATATTGAGCTTTGAAGAACAGATCTCCTCCTGATGAATAATGTAATAGAGCAGTAGAAGAGAAACCCTTTGGACCACTTCCTCTCTGAGCTGATCTTGGAAATTTCCTCCAGCTATTAGCAAGAGGGCATCTGGTTCAAAGCACTGGGCAAAAAAAGAAAAAGCACAAAGACAGAAACAAGGCTTAGCAAACAGTCCTAGAACTCAAATGACTACAAAGTCTCCACTGCTTCTAACTGTTATCAATAGCAGGGGAAGGTCGGTAGGCTTAATAGCCAGATTCGTATAAGAGAGTCAGGGCTGGACTCTTATGTAACAGTGATGCCCTCCCAGGGAGTCCTTATTCCGTAAGAGTGTTCCCTCCAGCCCCAACTACAGTGCGACAAGCTGTCCATTTGCTACCTTGAGTAAAACCAGGTGACTCTTTGGCTTTGAAAGCAATGCCCCACTGCATTTAGAATGCATTCCAAGCTCCTTACAGTTTTCTCTTTGGCCTGGCTCCTGTCTACCCTCTCTCCCCGACCTTATCTTAGCTTCTCTCCACCCCTCTCACCAAACTTCTGCCCCTGTGATTTTTCTGTCAGTTCCACCAAGCCCTTCCCCACCATCTTTCAAGTCTTCTTGTTCCCCTCACTTCTCTGATCTCAGCTTCAAGTGCCACCCCTCATGGATGCCTCTTGAAAACCCTGTCAAAGTTGAAAGCCCCCAGCCCCGTCACATGTTCTCCAGCACAGCACTGTTCAATAGAAATACAACGCGAGCCATGCATGCAAGCCACATGTGTCACTTTTCTAGTAGCCACATTTTTAAAAGTAAAAAGGAACTGAAGTTAACTTTAACAACATATTGTATTGAAAGTTCTATATGCAAGATATGTTCATTTCAACATGGAATTAAAATTTGTCAAAAGACAAATGCCTTATGATATGTGGAATCTAAAAAAATAAAACAAATGAAGACACAAAACAAAAACAGGAACAGACCCATAGATATAGAGAATATGCTGATGGTTGTCAAAGGGGAGGGTGGGAGAGGGAGGAAAAACTCTCAAAATTCAACAGTAATAAAACAAACAACTCAATTAAGAAATGGACCAAAAGTGCCAGCCAAGTGGCTCAGTTGGTTAGGAGTTTGCTTAAGCACTCAAGCTCTGAGCAACAGGGTCGCTGGTTCGATTCCCACATGGGCCAGTGAGCTGCACCAGAGCTGAGCTGCCAACAGGTGTCAGGATGGTTCAGCTGGTGAGATCATGTGCTCCTAACAACAAGACTGCCTGTTTAATGCTGGGCTATGCCCGCCTGCAACGAAGACTGAACTCAGCATCTTGAGCTGAGCTGCCACCCGGATGGCTCAGTGGATAGATGGTGCGCTCTTAACAACAAGGCTGCCGGTCCGACGAAAGAAAGAAAAGAAAAGAAGGGAAGAGAAGGCAAGGGAAGGCAAGGCAAGGCAAGGCAAAGGAAGGGAAGGGAAGGGAAGGGAAGGGAAGGGAAGGGAAGGGAAGGGAAGGGAAGAGAAGAGAAAAGAAACCAAGAAAGAAAGAAAGAAACCAAAGACTTGACTGCACACTTCACTAAAGAGATTAGATTGTGGCAAATAAGCACATGAAAAGATATTCAACAGCATTATACATTAGGGAAATGCAAAATAAAGTCACGATGAGAACCACACATACCTATTAGAATGGCGGAAGGAAGGAAGGAAGGAAGGGAGGAAGGAAAGAAGGAAGGAAAAAACTCTGACAATACCAAGTGTTGGCAAGATCCAGAGATACTGCAACATTTATCCATTGCTAGCAGCAATGCAAAGTGGTACAGACACCCTGGAAAAGTTGGGCACTTTATATCTTATATTTAAACACAACTAATTATGAATGACCCATTTGACATTCTTTCTGTCCTGCTGTCTTTGGAACCTGGTGCGTATCCTACACCGATCAGCATATCTCAATTCAGACACACCACCTACCAAGTACCCAATAGCCACATGCAGCTAGTGGCAGCTCCTCTGGCACACATCATTTTTTGTTTTCTTTAGAGAACAAGCATTCTAAAATTACCCTGCCTACCTGTGACTTTTCTCTCTCCCCTTGAGGACAGCTGGTCCAGTAAGGCCTGGTGTCATCTGCTCTGTGCACAGTTCCCCTTGGCACCTAATACACCTGGCACTAATGAGGGGTGAAAATGGAATGCATGAACATCTGCCTTTCTTTATCCTACCTAAAAGAATTGCTAAAAACATCTCCATGATGCTTTATTTCTTTCACAAGGCACAGACTGACACCTGGCTCCTTCAATCTGGGAAGTTTACGTGACAGAAGGAGGTGTTTGGGATAATGTGGTAGGACAGACAGTGAGAAAAAGACACAGGGGCTGTAGAGGGGACACTTTCCCAGCAAGACAGGAAACAATTGAGGAGCTCCAGAGAATTCCCCCAGGATCCCAGAAGCAACGCATTACAGGGCACCAGCCTTAGAATGAAGGCATCTAGGGAAATGAGTCCTGAGTCCCAGAAGGATTTGTCCCACTGTGGGACAATTTATTACAATATCTTTTTTTTAATTGAGATGTAATTGACATATAACATCAATTAGCTTCAGGTATACAACATCAAGATTCAACAGGTATATACATTGCAAAATGATCTCCGCAAAACATCTCGTTAATGTCTGTCACCACATATGGTTTAGAAAATTGTTTTTCTTGTGATGAGAACTTTTAAGATCTACTCCCTTAGCCACTTTTCAAATATACAGTACAGTATTGTTAACTATAGTCACCATGCTGTGCATTAGATTCTCAGGACTTATTTATTATTGGACGCTTGTATGTTTTTACTCCCTTTGCCTATTTGCCCACCCCCTCACCATAATTATAGTATTTAATCCCTCAATCTATTCTCTGAGGTCGAAGTTTCAGGTGGTTCTAATTCCATGCCTGCCGTACATCCCACTGGGTAACATCTGACACACGCTGTCTGAGTCAGGAAGAAAAATGTCAGCCAACGCTGAAGCAAAGCATTAAATCACATTCTTCACAAGCCACACAGACTCCAATCTCTCTCCAAATCAACTGCGAGGGGACGAGAACTAGCAGAGGGACAGGCTTCCCAACAAGACCGGCCCTTAAGATATGTATTAAGCTCCACCAGTGAGACCACAGCAGCCCTCTTCTGTTCCCTAATTAGCCCACAAGAAAAGTCCATGGGTTGGGAGCTGTTGGTAGGACTGATACGAAGACCCAAGGGGGTGAGTCGGTTGAAACAAGTGTAATAAAGCCATTCCTTGTACCAAATGACCTCCTGAAACCAGGCTATTGGTGGTATTAGCTACCATTTTTTGGACACCATGTTTCCAAAACAGTGCTAAGCACCTTATGTATCCAGGTATTCCTTGCTATATAAATCTAATTGGTTCTGGAAAAGGTGTCGGATCACAAATTCTTCAATGGTGGGAACCTTACTGCATTATTTTAAAATATATATATATATATATATCCCCAGCCTATATAATAATCTGCCAAATATTTCTGCATAATATAAAGCATGTAGAATACCAATTACCCAATTATTTAATGCACAATGAGTTAACAGTTACATGTATAGTATGCAAGGATATTGAACAGAGTCAAGTGTAAATTGTGTTTTCTTTCTGAGGGAGGTAAACCCAGAATATATGTGGAAACTAAAAGAGGGCAAATAATGTACCCGAAGCCACACAGCTAGTAGTGGTTGCCCAACCTTAATTCCTGCTCTGCCACTGATGGACTTTATTCTCTTATTCCTTTGTTTGGTGCCATGGAGAAGACAAGCTGTGGACCCACCAATGTACTTGCTCTGCAGCCCCTCACCCAATCCTTTTCTCTTCCTTCTGTTTGGTAGGAAGGCAGTTGGCCAATGAGGAGGTGAGGGGATTGGTAAGGCTCAAATATCAGTCGATGAGAACATGGTGCAACCAGAGGGTGGAAGAAGTTCATGTTCATAGACTTTCAAGGGCTACTCAGGGTGTTTGATGGGGCGGGTAGATAGGAAGAAGAGCATCAAGGACACAAGGAACAGGACCTTCATGAGGACACCAGACCACGCACGTGTGTCCGAGGCTCGGTTGACAGCACACAGCGGCACAGCGGTGATGTGGCTACCCTTTGTCCCATCTGAGGTGCCTGAGACCCCTGCCCACTCATGGCTCTGCCTCAATGCTCTTGCTAGGTCTCTTTCTCGGGTTGGAATAGGAGGGGTGCAGCATGAGGCAGCAGAACATAGGGTAACATCTGGAACACTGCAGGTGTTCATGCCAGGCTTGGTTGTAAAAAGCACACAACTTGGAAAGTAAATTGGTTCCTGACTTTGAAAAGTTTTAAATAGTTGGGGAAGCAGTTCGTTTTGACAGACTAGAGATCTTGGTCATCTTGAATGACCCGATGTTGCCTACCCCTCGCTTTAATTTTTTTGAGCCCTGCTGAAAGAAAACTTAACTGTCAATCAAATGACTATGGGCTGAAAACTGTGTGCTCTTTTATGGTATCTGAATCTTACACAAGTTCCCTTAATACAGAATGTGGTGGCTTGACGAAAGAATGCTGCAGGGAAGAGCCCGCCTAAGAAAATGTGAGTTCTCTGAGCATGGACGTGACAAAAAGCATTATGGGGGGCATTCAAGGGGGGGCTGGAATTTTCAGTTCATCACCACTAGTTTTAGCTGTTAAAGTTTTTGCAGTGACTCAGTTGAGTTTGGGAGAAGACGTTTAGTAAAATTTTACAAACACTGGCACCCCCATAGCATCAAGACCTGTCCAAAATTCTGTCTCTAATGAAGTGATTCTTTGTTCAAAAAGAATGGGCTCATTCAGGAATAATCCACTGATTTTTCCCTTTAATCTTGTGAGGCGGAAGCATAAGGTTTAAGGGGAAAAAAAGAAACACGGATTCTGGGAATTAGTTTTAAAGACTTCATCAACTTTGGGGAAAGACTGGTGAAAACTCAGGGAGCTCTCCTTATTAAGATAAATGGACTACCCGGATATTTGGTAGAAATTTTCTGTGGCATCCTGTAGCCCGATCAGATTGCCTCCCCCAGCTGCTTGATTTAGCTCTGTTTATTGTTTGTCTGCCAGGTGAGGGCCTCAGTGACAAAGAGTGATATGAAATCTTTCTTCTTCTAACGTGAATAAGACAGTTGTCAGAAATGCAGGATAAACATTAGGGGTTTTAGACCAAAAGATGTTTAGAATTTGATTTGGGGTTATGAGGAAATCCACTGACCTCTTTTAAGTTCTTAGATTTTTATAAGGTGTGGAGTCTTTTCTTGTTTGTTTGTTTGTTTGTTTGTTTGTTTGTTTGTTTGGGGGGAGCGCTAACAATTCACTGTGAAATACAAGAGGGAAATTGTTTCTTTTTATTCCCCCCAAACAAAGATCTGGAAGGATGTCAGCTGATGGCAGGCACTAGCTTTTTGTGGGTCTGTACCAGATTTAGTGGCATTTCTGAAAAACAGAAAAGTTTTAACTGAGAAGAGTTAAGATAAACTTGTTAGTTAAACAGTTTAAGAAAAACCTTGATGCTTTTCACACTTTATCCCATGACAGTTGTTATGACAAATGGGGGAGAGGGGTGTGAATATAATGCAGGACCTTAAATAAGTAGTGGTTCTTTTCCCTGAATGTGTCTGAGAATTGTCTAGAGATCCTGGTTAAAAGCCCCAAGGTCCTGGGACAGTTGAGGGGGGCTAGGGGTTGGGCAGGAAGGGGGTGCCGAGGAATGTCTGTTTCCTCATAGCACTGTAGGTGCTTCACAAACGCTGCTCCAGTGTCCCTGGAAAAGGAGGGATTGGACATTTCCACGAGGCACAGGAATTGTAAGGGACAGAAACAGCTGAGCGCCTGCAGTCAAGCTTATTTGTACAAGGCCATGTGTCCTCACAGTCCGCTCCCTGAGGAAAGGACTCACCACCTGGGTCTTATAGCTGAGGAAGCTGAGGTGTAGCGTGCCCTCACAGCTCGAAGGTGCCAGGACAAGGATTTGGGCCCATCACTGGCTAACTCCAGACACCAGGTTCTATTCCCTTTGCCATGCCCAGAACCCATGTAGGGTCATGGTTCTCATTACTGAAGTAGAATTTATTCTTTTGTGGTTACTTAATCCCTCATTAAATTCATTAAAACTTCATTCTGACCCTTCTCATGGAGAAAAGCAGCAGCCAGGATCAGGCAAGAGTATCCATTTTCAAAGGCTGCAGCTTGAATGGATTCATTTCTAAATGCACAGTGCTCTCACATCCTTCAGATTGATTTTAAAAACAAATTCAGTTGGTACCTAGACATAATATAAAATTGGGGACTTGCTTCTCAACACACAAATTCAAGATCCCTACTTTCCACATTTTTCAGACATGGGGGGATATGAACTCACCCTTTAACCGCCTTTTACCACAGAATTTCTAATGTGAATGTTGCCTCTCAGTGGACAAAGTCTCTAAAAAGACAAAAAAGATTCAACAACAACCTGAAGCCCTGTGGTTGGCTCCCGAAGGTGGGTGTTTGTGAAATCCACAGGATACTGTTTTCCCCTGGCGCTTTAGGAATGACATGGGGAGATTTTGTGGCTCCTTGCTTATGAGTGATTTGGGTGAATTGTTGCCTTCTGAACAGGTGAATCTGAGATTTTCCTTTTTTGACCTCGGTCTGTTGCTCATAGAAAGAGAAATAGCTGCAGCAAAAGGGTGAAACAATTAAAGACAGTGTTTTACTTCCTACGAATGGAGCTACTTCAAATGGAAGTTAACTTGGCCAAACTCCCAATAATGTCCCAGAACCCAAAAAGTTCAAAACAACTCCTCCCCCTGCAAACGGAGGACAAGTTAACATGTTTACAATCCTCCTACCTAAACTAATATTCCATCAGCTTCAATAAGGCACTTCATGTCATTAGAGGAGAACATTTCCCTGAAGCGAATTCTCAGAGGACATTAATAAGATATGACTCCTAGTTATTTCCAGTGGGAAGTCTTATGTTGCTATATATATAAATTAATGTCATCACAGATGAGTTGCCTATTGGAACACATGTTTTCTCTGGGAACCCTTGGGAACTGTACTAATTATTGAATAATTTATTGTTTGCACAGAAAATTTTTCTCTATGAGTAAGACCCTTCTGTCATGAAAAAAAAAAAAACCCACACACAAAAAAACAATTGGCCAGAACTGTTTCCGCTAGAACTAAGCAAGACAGAAAATCTGCCAACATTTATTTGGGGGGGAGGGGGCAGTTATTTGCTTCTCTTATTAATTTTTTGGCATCTTTATTTACTTGTGGGTTTATTCTGAAAAATCTCATTGGTCAGGAGAGGGATGGTGAAGTGTGTTTTTAGTTTTTTTGTTTTGTTTTAAGACATCAGTTCTTCTCAATTGTACTGTTCTAGCAATCCCCCCACCATGCCACCCATCCATCCTAATGGGGACATTACAATTTTACATTAAAAACTGGTTTAACATCAATGCTGATTTTACATTAAAGTAGCCTGCAGAGATTTTTTAAAAATTCCATCCCAGGCATGTTCAATCTCAATCTCTGGACGAGGAAGCCCCCATCTGAGTATTTTGTGAAACCTGCCCTGGTGAAGCTAATGTGTAGCTAGGATTTGAGTTGGGTCTCATTTCGGCTCCTCCTGGGACACTTCCATTCCCCAGCTCAGATTCCTCATTTTTAAGAAGATGATTATCCAATTCATTAACTACTACCCACTGTGCAGAATATTAGAAAACACCAACTGATATCTAAGGAGAAAGCACTTAAAAACCCAACCTTAGACAAATATCAGATAGCTGTTATTATTCCCAGAAAACAAATAGCATCTATCTAAACCAGTCATGTGCACATCCACTGCAAGCTCCCAAAAAGGATTCATAAATCAGAAAGAAGAGAGAACTAAGTTCACACTCACAAATCAATGCCTCTCAACCTGCAGAAGGGTTGTAGGGAGGCTTACATGAACACTACCACTTTCATAAAACAAAGTCTCCCCATCTTTAAATGCTATATGCAGGATACCGAATGGCCTATCGTTTCCTAAGTATGGGAGTTATTATACCACAATGCACTGCACACTGGAGTACTGGAAGGTTCGTCTTTTATTTCACTTTACCGAAGTAAATGGCTAGAGATTCCATCGCTCTCTTTTGAACGCGCCCTGGTACCTGAATCCCGTTCTATGGCACTAACCAAATTGCAGTCTCCTTGCATCCCGTTCATCCTCCGTGGACAGCCAGTTTTCTCCAACAAGGTTTTGAGGAGGCTTCTTGAGTGGTTCAGGGGTGGGCGGTCATCAGCAGAGAGAGCTCGGAGTACTTCTGTCAGTTGGCCAGGAATCCAGGTGCCGCCGCTATCCTGGGTAGAGGGTTTTGCTGTCTCAGTCGTGGGAACGAGGCTGAGTAGAAGGAACAGTGGCACCCAGAATACTGACAGCTTTGTCCAGAAGCACATTTCCACTCTTCCTTTACCTCCAGTCGGTCTTTGATGGAGATGGGTGGGTTGGTGTTTGCAGTGTGAACTTGGAACTAGAGGAATTTCTGCAGTAAAAGGGGAAAACAAAGGCTTTAATTATTGTGCCTGCTACATGTTTGAAAGGGTTCATTAATTGGGTGGCTAAGCTGATTTGCAATGACAAGCTGTTTCTGAACAACAGGGGGTCTGTAGGTCATTTATAACTCCAACCAGCAGGACACTATCATGGCGGCAGACTTTCAAACTGTAGAACAGCCAAGGAGTTTGTTACGTTGCCTCTCAACTCAACCTAGAGTCAAAAATTAGGAAGAATAAGTTTTCCTGTTTATTCTGCAGGTGGTACAAGTCATGGGACCAGGGACAGGAAAACATCCCTATTTTATCTCATTGTTAAGTAGATCTCCCGTTGGTTTGTGGTCCTCATCCCTGAGGTAAGTAAATAAAAGTAAAAGAGCACATAAATTTTAATAAGTTAAAATAGAATGTTGAGTTAGAAGGTTTTAGACAAAGCAGGGTACCAGAAGAAAATAGTAACATCCAGAAAACACTGGTCATTTTCTCGATTTTAGTTTATTAAAAGTACAAATTATCTTTTAAAAAATGAGAATTTCAAGACCTCATGAGCCATGATAAATCCACATACTCAGTTGTCCCTAAAGGGATGAAGTGATGGCTTTAGAACAAATCAGCTTCCTGGCCAAAAAATTAATCTCTTCAACCAACTGCTTAAGAAACACAAAATGTTAACAGCATCCCATGTCAGATCTTGGCCCAGAGATGAACTAATAATGACTGTGGGTAGCGACAAAAATACTGGGATTAGTTTTATGGTTAAAAGAAAAAAAAGAAGTTTAAGATTCTTAGGTTAGAATTTAAAAAAATGACGGAGGTTGATACAAACAATTCTAAACCCAGTGCTTACCTTCAGAAGACAGATAAGTGATTATTTATCTGGAGCTCTGTCTGCAGCTTTTTAAATCTTGGGGAGTACTGTGTGGTTACAAAGTCCTCTGTTTTTAAAATTCCTTGACCGTGCGCTGGGAGCTGGAGAGGATTATTTCAGCCCAGCAAGTTTTCAGTTGCTATGGAGAGAGCTGCTCTGGAGGTAACAATGAAGGTGGATAAAAGTGAGAACTTTCTGTCTGGCAGGTTTTCAGGAAAATCAGATAAATGTGGCTAATGAGCCCAACTTTTTCTATCATTATTTACCATTTTTCTTTTAGATTCATCTACAGTCACTTGCCTTGTAAGGAACAGATCGAGGTCAAATGATTTCACCTCGCAAAATGGAAAGATTTTAGTGTTAGAGCATGATTCTTTTTTCTTTGTAGGTTTAGGAAATAACCTTCTCCCCGCCCCCCCTTAGGTTTAGGAAATAGTTCAAAATGATTAAAGAATAGGGAGTTATCAAAAGTTGAGTTAGGAGAGGTAGGGACAAGGGATCTTGTGTGCCATACATAAAAGTTTGGACCACCTTATGTGCAGAGCAGAGCTTTCGAAGAATTTTAAACATGGTACCATGCCTATATTTGTGTTTTAAATACACCTGTCATTCAGCAACATGGAGGATGAACTGGAAGGGATTGAAACAGTCAAATCAAGAATTTGTTGAAAAGACAGGCTCTTTAGAACCTTATTTATTTCACAAGGTGCAGAGGTGTAAAAGATTGACGGCGGTGGTAAATTTGTAAGTAAGATATTTTCAAACAAGAAGGCAAGTATTTGTTGGAGGGATGAAGTTCTTCCCTGGGAAGTAAGTGGATGCAAGTGGGGAAGCTTTAATTAGCTGTGTGTGTTCTGATCCCAGAGTCTGAGGTAGAAGTGATTACACAGGGCCCTTCAGGCTTTGTGAAACAGGCTCTCCATACATTATGAGCGAATAAGTGACTGACAGAACAAAGTGGTAAATTTTATAGGAGGTACAAAGATAAGACCCAAGATTTCAAAGTGAACAGAGTACACGTAAACGGCACATAGTACACAAAAACATAAAGTGACTCAGAAGAGTTGAGGGGGTGGATAGAGACTTGTGAGTTCAATTCTATAAGTGGAGGAGGAGGGCTACTGTTGAGGAGACAGAGGAAATGAGAACAGAAAGAAGTTGAGATGATTAGTTGCCTCAATCACTAACTGGATGTGAAAATTGAGAACAAGAGGGTGACATACTCCTAAGAGAATGCTGCTAACACTAACAGAAATATGGAAGGCATAAAAGCTCCCAGAAAATGCCTGGCCTCTCTTTTATTATGTATCACGAGCACTTAGATTTATCTAAACTCTCAAGGGAAGGGACTCAGCATGTTTCTCTGGAGCTCTGTGGTGAGATTAATAGGAATTAGAGTCAAGTGTGATCAGTTCCACAGAGGGGCAAGGAGTTGCTCAAGACCTTCCAGCTGCAGATGGAGTCAAGGTTGAGAAGTGAGGAGGAATTGGGCTCAGAACCAGAAGGACACTGGACGAAACATCCCATCAGCCCCTGCTCATCTCCTGTTGCCATCCCCACAGTGGGGACCTCCTGAGCATCATTTGCAAGCTCAGCCTCATCTCAGTCTCAGGGACTAGGTTAGGTGGTTGCTAAGAAAAAGTACAGGCATATTTCAGAGATATTATGGGTTTGGTCCAGACCACCACAGTAAAGCAAATTTGTAATCACTACTGATGAAGAGTCTTGCCTCCAGTTTGTTTAAACAAAAAAACAAAAAACCCGCAACACCTGTGAAGCGCAATAAAACGAGGAATGCCTCTAGTCTAAAACCTATTGAGCAAATTACCTGGTTCTACCATCATATGCTCCGTTTAAGTACCTCAGCTTTGCCTATGTCTGGAATTAAGCCCGCTCCTCCTGGCTCAGCTCTAAGGAACAGGTCCCATTACCTGCCATTCGGCCCAAGTCCCACCATGTAACCCTCCTTGTTGCCACAGAACTGCGGCCGGATTTGCTCTGACCAGGACCGTGCTCCTGCTGGGACTTAGGGACCTTTTCCCTGACTCCCCTGTGCCGATGTCCAGCCTTGGAAGCCCTATATTTCCTGGACTCATATTTCCAGTGGCTACGGATTCCCTCGTAACAGGGCCCCAGTGAGTCATGTCCTGCAGGAATTCTTGAACACCATTCACTAGTCTCAGATGCTCCCAACACCATAACCATCCTAGCCACATGTCCCAAGCCTCCCAAAGGGAACTTCCTCCCATCATCACATGCTCGAGTCTGCTCCGTTTTCCCCCAGGGCTTATTCCACCCTCACAGACATACCTACAGTTCAGCCACCATCCAGGTTCCTAGTCCTGTCCCAGTGTGAGCCAGCAACATGGAGGGATAAGGAGAAGCCCCAGATGTAGGCTCTACGGCAGGCAGAACAGTGGAGGGCTGACAGGCAGATGACAAAAAGTGTCGATGTAAGAAATGTCCAAACCTGTGGAAAATTTTTATAAGAGTTTATTTGAGCCAAACTGACCATATATGCTGGGGAGCAAGATCTCAAATGCTCCAGAGAAGAACGGATTTGGAGCTTCTCTTATGCATTTAAAATTAAGGAGGGAACGTGAAGAAGATTACAAGGAGGTGGGAGAAAGCAAGGTAGGGATTGAATTACAGGACAGTTAACACGATTATGTGCTTTCTTGAGGGTGGTGAAGGCTATTTCAAAGGTAAGTTAACCTAGAGGCACAGAAACAATGGACAGGGCTGGCTTAAAGGCAAAGAGACCCACCATGACCTGGCCAGTTAGGAATTTATAATCAGATCACCCCTAGAAGTTACTTTCCCTAGAAACCCTTTTATCATCCCCAGGAGGAAGAAGGAAACAAAATACTTAGCTGAACATGGCGGCGGTGTCTTCTTTGCTTGACTCTTGGTTGTAGCTTTAACTGTGAGTACGAGCCCGCCTGCTTCCACAGCAAGGCTGAAATCAGCCTTTCTTAAACATGGCCATATTTGCAATCCAAACCAACTTCTAGGGATAACGAGTTTCACGTGTTAACTAACCAACTGTGTAAAGAAGGAGCTAATATACTCCTGAGTGATCCTTCCCAGGCAATTAGCCCCCAGGTGGGAGCAGTGGCAACTGATGCAGTATCTCCTGATATACAGGCGCTTACTTGTGCCATCACAGGAAGATACAGGGGCTGGGAGGTGGGAGGAAAGGAGGAGGGGGATGCCGACCAACCTGTCCTTCCTTCAGTTTTGACTGTCTCCCTTTTGGTGTGGCTTGAGTTTCAAACTTCTCCCTCAAGTCAATAGGTAATGCATTTACATATGTACCCTACCTTGACCTAGAAAGAATTTAAAGGGGCCCACCAGAAAGGAAGAAAACAATATGGCAGCAAGTGAAGAAGAGGCTGAAACAAGCATAGCGCCATCTTGTGGATACAGCTCTGGGCCACCTGCTGTGTACAGTTTTGCAGGTTGGGCACTGCACAACTCTAGGGATGATCATTCACTTTTGTAATCATCACGGATTTATGTATTTATTACACCTGAAGAGAAGAAGCTTTGAGCTGGTGGCAAGACTGCTTGGGCTCCTCTTCCCCAGGGTCCAGCCTATCCCTATGGGGCCACCTCTGGCAATAATATGAGGTCCTACAACTCTAAGCTGACTCTGGACCTAGCTTCTCCCTGTGTGCCCCTTTATACTGACTTCTTTCCTCTTTCTCAAGACACTAAACTCTCTAAAGAATGATTATAAAATGTTTCTTAACATGTTTGGAGTGTCTTTATGCCTCGGCCCTGTGCTAAGTGGCTTCGCCTATATTTTGTCATGTACTATCAATTGAACCTTATGAATTTCTCATTGCATGTTTCAGAAGTACCCAGGGTCCCACAGCTAGGAGATGCCACCAGAAATCTGGGCCCGTGAACCTCAAAGTTGGTGCTTATACCACCAAGCGACTGTTGGTTGCGATGCCATCCCATGTTTTGTCAGTTCCAGCCTCTTTTTACAAGGCAGCGTGTGGGTACACAGAGGAATCACCTGAGAGCCCATCATAAAGGAAATAATCGGCTACATTTTGATTTTTACTGTCTCCCCCAAAGCCCCTTCAACCCCAAAATTCTCTGAGGAAAAAAAAATTAACAGAAACGTAGAACATTAAAACAAATAGAGGTTTAAGCTCTCCTCTTCTGTGATATTTATGAACAGGACTGCCCACCAGGCATTTGAAACAAATGTTACTCCTTCTCTGAACTCTCCTTAGAGGACAAGCAGAATATTAGACTGAAAAGGCAGCTCCTTCGACAATGCCAACATCACTGTAGTTCCAACAGTTACAAAATGTCAGTTGTTTTGAATTTAGCCGTTTAGGTTGTCTTTGATTTGGAACCTGATAGCAAAAATGATTTTTTTTAAACATACATTTTCTGTGCAACTTTCAAACAATATTTTTCCTCTTATAAAAGCCATATAGGATCCTTAATTTTAAAAAAAACCTGCAGAAAATACCTAAGAGTATAGAAAAAAAGGTGGCCTCTTCACTAGAGATAACAAATATTAATATTATCTTTTAGTTTCTATTTTTTAACATAATTTGGATTATGTCATATGCACGATTTTGAAGCTCCTTGTTTTTACTCATTATCTTGTCAGTCTTTCTAGGGATGACTCTATTAGCCATTTCGAAAATTCACCTTTCAGTGGTCCTTATTATAGCTCGCTTCCCATGTCACTAATTTCTCCTCTTTTCATTATTTCCTCTCTTTGTTTTTCTTGTCTTTCCTTGGTTCTTTCTGTGGGAATGCAGCTTTGAGTGGCAGGCTTTGCTGATATCTCCCCGATATCCATTCCTCCTTCTTCCGTTTGTTTAGGGCAGCACAGTGCCCAACGGAAAGCTTTCACTTTAACAGACTCATTAGGCACATGACACAGTTGTGAGATCAGTGCAAGTGGAAGTCTACTGGAGATATAAAAGAGGGCCTCCTGCCTGGAATACAGATGTGACACCTCATGTGGCTCCAGGGAGGTAAAAAAAAAAGAGAACAAGGCATCTTCCCACTTAAGTTAGAGGAACA